CGCACATGCCTCGTCGTCGACCCAACGAGGCAGGAAGTTCGAGTGAAACTTCACTGGGTGTCGTTTGACGTCTCAAACGAGGACATCCGAAAGGCCTTCGCGGATTACGGCAAGGTAAAGGACGTTTCCTTTGACCGGTGGAAGGTGGCTGGCTTCGAGGGGGCCGAGTCCACCACCCGGATTGTACGCATCGTACTCCGGGAGAGAGTCACCCTCGAGCGCCTTCCGCACCAGTTGCGTTTCGGAAGCGGCACGGTCCTAGTCGTAGTGCCTGGACGAGCTCCGATTTGCCTCCGGTGCCGCAAGACTGGGCATATCCGGCGGGACTGCCGGGCCCCAAGGTGTTCTGAGTGCCGCGCCTACGGGCACGAGCAGCAGGACTGTGTGCGCTCGTACGCACGAGCTGCGGTACGTGGTGCGGGTGATGACCAGAATGACCTCCTCATGGACGAGGAGGAGGCGGAAAGAGCGGCGGCTCCCACTGCGACTTCGACCGAGCAGCCCACCCCGGTTGAAAAAGGGCGGCCGGCCAGACACCGGCCCGAAGAAGGCGAGCGTCGTGGGAGCGAAGCAGCTGGAGACTGCAGCCTCTGGTACTGCTGTTGAAGACACGTCGAAGTCTTCTGTGCCAGAAGGCGATGCAAGGGACGTTGCCGCGACGGACAGTGAGCCCACCGTCTCTGAAATGGACCTTGACAAGACTGCCGTGAAGCGTCGCCATGAAGGCGGTGCTGAGTTCACTCAGGAACGGCGGCTACGACAGCTCGAACGGAAGTGGAAGGTGGCGGCGGGGTGGAAAGGCGTCGACAGTCCGCAGCGGTCATCGTCACCGCATTCCCGCGAGAAGCTGTCCCAATAGGTCACCACTGTGAGAGAGGACTGCCGTGTATGAAGACGCGCCAAAAGGGTAAGCTCCGTACGCTGTGCCTGGTCCCACTTCACGATAAAGACGCTCGAAAAGCCTGTACGTATAGCGATCTTAAATGTACGGGGGCTCGCTGAGAGAAGAAAGCAAAGGCAGTTGTATCGTCTAGTCGTAGAGCAGGACCTCGACATAGTCGCTTTGCAAGAAACGAAGGTCGAAAGGGAGGACCAGACAGAGCGTATGGTGTGGCCTTTTACTGCTAACTATAGCGTGTGCGTCAGTCATGCAGTAGGAGCATCGGCAGGGTGTCTGTTGTTAGTTCGCGCGAGCCTGGGAGCGGATGTGCAAAAGGTTACGACCTCAGAATCGGGTCGACTGATAGTCTGTGATATGGCATTTTTGTCGCACGAGTGGCGAGTCATTTGCATTTACGCGCATAACACAGCCGAAGAACGAAAAACGTTTTTTTGAGGATATTCGGTCTTTCTTTGCGACGGAGCGTATAGTCATCTTTGTTGGCGACTTTAACTGTGTGCTTTCGGCACGAGATAAAACGAGTACACTTCCGTTTAGGGACGCGAGTACTGTTGTTTTAAATGACATTGTAAATTTCTGTGGGTTAGAAGATGTTGGTGACTGTTTGGGGGACACTAGAAATGTACCTTATACTCATTTTCAAGGGTCAAGCCATGCCCGTTTGGATAGAGCATATATTTCCTTAGAGATTCTTCCTCAGTGCAGCGAATATCGTGTGATACCCGTGTCATTTAGTGATCACTGTTTAGTTTTGTTTACACTTGCAAGCGCCAAGGCAAAAAGAAAAGATTTCTGTTGGGAGCTTTGGAAATTAAATAGTAAACTCATGAGTGACGATGATTTCATGGCCGCTGTCAAGGATAGCTTAAGAGGAATCTTTAAAGGGGAAGTGAATGACTACGCTTTAAAATGGGAACAGTTTAAGCAAGAAATTAAAATGAAAGCAATGGAAAGAGCGAGCGTGATAAAGTATAGAAAAAGAAAAAAAGAATCGCTTCTGCGCAGTAATCTTGAGTTACTTATCGGCGAAGAGAGTCGTTCGCCTGGTGTTTATAAAGATGACATAAGCACTTTGAAATCCAAGTTGGAAGTTCTTGATAAGGAGCGGTACCACGGAGCACTGGTTAGAGCGCGGGCAGGAAAGTTGTTCTGTGGGGAAGCACCGACAAAAAGAGCTCTCGGGGCTGAAAAAAGGTACGCTAGGCGCAACGAGATTGTCGAAATCGAATATCGCGGGGCCGTTACAAGAGATAGCGCAGAAATAGAGAAGGCTTTTTGTGAATTCTACAAAAATCTGTTTTCTCACCGAACCGTTAATTTAGCGAATTTTAAAAGCGAGTTTATGCGCCTATTACCGCGGTTAAATAGTGAAACAACTTCCTTTTTAGAAGCTGAGATTACCATAGATGAAGTCGAAAATGCTATTGAGCATTTGAATCCTGGAAAGTCGCCCGGCCCCGACGGCCTAAGCGCGGCCTTTTACAAGGCGATTAAGCATGAGGTTAGTCCGGTATTGTGTAGGGTTTACGCTGAAGCATATGAGCGTAAATTGCTACCACCGTCTTTTTGGCGTTCCCATACAATACTCATTCCCAAAAGCGAGGACAAGATAAAGCTTAGGCAGGTGTCGGCGTACCGTCCAATCAGTCTAACAAACGTTGATTATAAAATATTTATGAAAATCTTAGCAAAACGGTTGCAATCAGTGATAACAGACATAGTAGGGCCTCACCAAACGTGCGGAATTAGAGGACGGACCATAGTAACGAATATTCACGTCGCCAGAAGTGTCCTTGAGTGTTGTGACTGTATGCAACGCGTGGTTGCTATGCTCCAGATTGATCTGGAAAAAGCGTTTGACCAGGTGTCACACGAACTTTTGTTCAGCGTGCTAGAACACGTAAATGTCGGCACAGTTCTGCTCGAGGGTGTACGTATGGCGTACAAAAAGTGCTCCACGAGTCTCATTATCAACAAAGTTGTCAGTGAACGCATTAAAGTGTCCCGTTCTCTCCGTCAAGGTTGTCCCTTATCACCCCTTCTGTTTTGTATCTACATAGAGTCGTTTTGTTTAAGTATTATTAGATGCGAAAGTATTAGGGGGTTTAAACTGCAATCGTGCGAAGTAAAATTGTTATCTTACGCCGATGATATCGCACTATTTTGTGTCGATAGAGGTGGCATAAGCGAGGCAGTAAAGCTGGTGAAAAAGTTTTGCAGATTTAGCGGTAGTGCCGTAAATTGGCACAAATGTTTAGGTTTTTGGCATGGAGATTGGGATGCAAAGCCTACTATTTTTGAAAACGTGAACTGGGTAACGACACCAGTCAAATACTTAGGGATACCGTTAGAAAATTATCGCGACAGTGACCCATACTGGCGAGGGCAGGCTGTGGATCTTCGAGAAAAAACGGAAAAGTGGAAAGGGAAGGATTTGTCGATGTTTGCGCGTGCCACAGTGTGCAATTTATTCTTTGTCTGTAAACTGTGGTATGTGCTTCAGGTCTTGCACTGCTCGAGTATCAACGTGCAGAGATTACATCGTGTTTTTGCGGTTTTTATCTGGGGATCCACCTGGGAAAGAACAAGCCGCACGAACCTTTTCAGGCGCGTGCGCGCCGGGGGACTCTCCTTGGCGCACCTATTTTTGCGGCAGGTTGTAAACCGCTTTATTTTTCTTCGCGACGTGAATGAACCTTTTCTGCGCACAGTGTGTCAGGTGCGCCTGGCCAGCGCATTACAAGAGCTAGTCGTTTCTTCTGTGAGGGCATGCGAAGGGGAAATTTATGGTTATTTCCGTGAGGTGGTGCAAGCGACTCGGTTTTTGTGTGCACGTTTTTCCTTACAATATCTGAGCGGGGTATCTCGAAAACAATTGTACAGAGACGTTCTTGATGTTGTCCTCCCGGTCCCGTTGTATAGGTCGTTGTATGTCTTTGGGGAGGGGCAGGATGTCCTTCAGCGAGTTAAGAAAATGACAGTTCCGCCGAGTGTTAAAACCTTTTTCTTCAAATTACATACTGGTGTCCTGCCGGTGAAGACATAGATGGAAGATAAGGGTCTGTTTGTACCGTGGGGGGTAAATTGTTTACTGGGTCAAAAACCGGAGACTGTAGAACACGTCTTTCTAGATTGTTGGGATGGGGGTTTTTTTTTTTGGACGTGCTGCAACGCACATTGAAAAAGAATTTTCCGTTGGATCCACAGGGTATCCGGTATCTAAGCATAGAAAATGATAATTGTGTCCCTTACGACTTGGTTATGCTTTTGGGTCTACACAGCATCTGGAAATCGCGCATGGCGGTTCGTCATGCAGAAGTTGATGCTAGGCCGGTTTCTGATTATTTTTGTGTTTCTTTGCGCAACGTCATTGAGGTGTGGAAAGCGCAGGAGTCTTGCCCGGATTGGGTGCCTGTTCTAGAAGAAGCGCTGCCTCTGAAGCCTTTTTAATTTTGTGTATGTAGTTTTTGTCTAACCATCGCGTCTACTTTTATCATTCTGTCCCTATTTTTGTTGATACTTATGCCTGGCAATAAAGAAAAAAAAAAACAAGTATAGTGGTCAGTATCCCCGTCTGTCACGGGGGAGACCGGGGTTCGATTCCCCGACGGGGAGCATATTTTTGTTTCTTACACCAAGTTTTTTGTTTTACTTTATTGAAAAGTCCATGCTGCGCTAGAGTTCCCGTCCCGCTATTCCCGTCTCTCCTCGTTAGTATAGTAAGATTCCACTGCCGATCGCGATAGCGGACGGACGTGATATGGATCGCTCCTTGCAAGCGGTGGCGGCCGTGCCCGGCCGCGGTGATAACAGGTCTTTTGCTGCTAAGGAATATCGTATGCAGTTGCCGTCACTGCCCACCGGTGATGCTGCAAAGCTCAGCGTCGTTTTGCACGCTGACCTCGACGGGCGCCCGTACAAGATTGAAGACTTCAAGCAGCCGTTGCAACAGGTGGGCGTTTTGTCAGACGTGGCTGGTCTGGGCGCCTACCAGATGAGCCACGTCTGGCTGCTTAAACTGAAAACTCCGGAAGCGAAAGCAAAGCTTTTGGAAGCAGGGAGTATTCAGGTGAAAGGTTTGACGTGCCAGTTCGTCGACCCGAACCGGAGGGAGCTTCGCGTTAAGCTTCACTGGGTCTCGTTCGACGCGCCGGTGGACTCTATTCGGCGCGCCTTCGAACCATTTGGGACCGTCAAAGAAGTCGCGAGGGAAAAGTGGAAGGTGGATGGTTTCGTCGACGTTGAGTCCACGACCCTCGTCGTGAGGATCACCCTCAACGAGGGAGTCTCGCTGGAGAGCCTGCCGCACCAGCTCCGTCTCTGCGGTGGAAACGTCTTGGTCGTGGTGCCCGGGCGTGCGGCGAAATGTCTCCGGTGCCGTCGCACTGGGCATATCCGCCGTGACTGCAGGGCACCCTGGTGTGCTGAGTGCCACGGCTTCGGACACGAGCCCAAGGACTGCGTCAAGACGTACGCCCGTGCAGCCGGCGGCAGTACCAATGCGGAGTCCACAGAGCTTCTGATGGACGAAGAAGAGGCGGAACAGGCAGCTGCACCGGCGACGCCGACAGTGCCTCAAGGGCAGCCCGACTCGGAGGAAGCCAAGGGAGGCCCTAGCGAGACGAAGACCGCCGCTTCTCAGACGGAGCCATCGCCCAAGACGACTCCTGAAGGAACCAGTGGTGCTTCGGCGAGGGATGGAATAGCGACTCCGGAAGCACCAGTGGATGCCGTCCAAGGAAGGGAGCCCGCGGTCGCCAAGGGTGGCGACGACGACCACGTTATGGTCGTCGAAACCACTACAGTGAAGCGCCGTCTGGATGATGCGCCGTCCTCTCGCGCCTTCAATCGCAAAACAAAGACAAAAAAACAAAAACAAAAAAAAAAACAGATATAACTTGCCTTTTTTTATTTTTCTAGAGATGTTTATTTGGATATTTTGACATTGTTGTTAGGGTGTTAAGAAATAGATTCAGGGGCTTGGTGTTGCAAAACAAAAAGAAAAGGCTTTGCTGAACTGAAGAGTGTGCCAAGCCTCCCTCCCATATCACTGCGCTCAACTTTACCAAAATGAAAACGACTTTTGTAGAAGGAGGGCGGGGGGGGGGGGGGGGGGGGGGGGGCTCGTCCTGAAAAATATGTAACGGATTACAAGGAATCCGTTACGTTTAAAATGTAAGGGAATTACTTTAAAATTACCCTAGAAAATATGTAATTTTTCCGTTACTAAATTACCAATAAATGTAAGGGATTACAAGTAATTTCGTTACTTGTAACGGATTACGTACAAGTCTGGATACGAGTACCATTTTTCTAAGCGATATGGTCCAGAAGTGTGAATTGGAAGACGTGGGTCTGTGTGCGTCAAGTCCTACCTCCCTATTTTTTACTCACTTCCAAGGTGCTGGTCACGCACGGTTGGATAGAGCTTATGTTTCTTTGGAACTCGTCAGGTCCTGTAAAACGTATGCTGTGGACCCAGTGTCTTTCAGCGACCACTGTCTTGTTTCTTTTACATTGGGCTCTTCAAAGGAAAAAGCCAATAATTTCAGTTGGGATCTGTGGAAATTAAATTCGAAGCTTTTACAAGACGATAATTTTGCGAGTGAGGTGAGTAAAAGTCTCGAACAACTAGATAAAGTAAAAGAAGGAAAAAGTGTCGGGGCGAAATGGGAACTGTTAAAACAAGAAGTTAAGATGAGCGCCATTGAAAGATCTGTTGCCTTAAAACATGGGGAAAGAAAAGAAATTACGGAGCTAAAGGGGCTGCTACAAGATTTGCTTAACGCGGAGAGCATATCACCCGGGCTGTTTTCCGATGACATCAGTGTTTTAAAGAAACGCCTTGAGGCCCTTGATACCGAACGTTATCAAGGGGCCATGGTTCGAGCACGTTTACAGCGTTTATCACGGGGGGAGTTACCCACGAAAAGAGCCCTAGGGTTAGAAAAGAGATACGCTAGCAAGAATGAAATAAGCGAGATACAGTATCAAGGGTCTTTGACGAGTGAAAGACAAGTCATCGTGCGTGCTTTTGTTGAGTACTACAAAGGGATTTTCAGTTATCGTGCTTCAAAGATATCAGAGTTCCAAACGTCCTTTTTGCCGTTAATGCCGAAACTCGATGATGAAGCAAGAGAAAGGTTGAACAACCAGTAGAGCTGTGGGAGATTGAAAAAGCGATAGATAATTTAAAGCCTGGAAAGTCGCCCGGTCCAGATGGTTTAGGAGGGGATTTTTACAAAACGTTTAAAGATCAAGTTGCACCTTTATTGCAACGCGTTTTCGCTGAGGCGTACGACCTTGGTTGTTTGCCTCCTTCCTTTTTGTGTACGCATACGATTTTTATTCCAAAGAGCGAGGACCCCGAGCGACTCCGTTCTGTTGGAGCGTATAGACCGATAACGCTCACCAACGTTGATTATAAAATTTTCATGAAGGTATTGGCTGAACGCCTACAAATGGTTATTAACGTCATCGTCGGTTCGCACCAAACTTGCGGCATTAGAGGCCGAAGTATTGTAACAAATGTGCACGTCGCGCGCAGTATTCTAGAGTGCTGTGACGCCATGCACCGTAGGGTCGCGGTGCTACAAGTGGATTTAGAAAAAGCGTTTGAAAGTGTGTCGCACGAGATTCTTTTTTCGATTTTAGAACACGTTAATGTAGGGTCTCTCTTATACAACGGCATCCGTATAGCGTATAAGAACTGCGCCACCAGTCTCGTAGTGAATAAATCTGTTAGTGAGCGCATTCCCCTACTTTCTTCCGTGCGGCAGGGATGTCCGCTTTCACCGCTACTTTTTTGTGTCTTTCTGGAGCCTTTTTGTTTGAGCATCATTCATAGCAGTCAGATACGTGGGTTTGGACTACAGGAAACTGAGGTCCGTCTTTTGTCCTACGCGGACGATGTAGCGATTTTTTGTGTTGACCACGAAAGTGTGAGCAAGGCTGTACAGTTAACAGAACTATTTTGTGAACAGACGTGTAGTGCAGTCAACTGGCAGAAGTGTATTGTTTTTTGGCACGGTGACTGGCCCTCAGCACCCGCTATTTTTGACCGTATTGTCTGGTCCGACACGCCGGCGCGTTACCTTGGAGTACCCTTAGAGCAGTACCACGTCAATGATCAGTACTGGAGGGATGAGACTGAAGTTCTGCGAGCAAAGGCCGAGAAATGGGGGGGAAAAGGTTTATCCGTTTTTGCGCGGGCAACTGTTTGCAATTTGTTTCTGGCTGCAAAAGTCTGGTATGTGTTGCAGGTTTTGTATTGTTCACGTATTAACATTCAGCGGATTCATCGTGTTTTCGCCGTTTTTATCTGGAGCTCGGCCTGGGAACGAACCAGCCGCACAAATCTTTTTCGTAGGGTCAAAGCTGGTGGTATAGGTCTTTCACACCTGTTTATAAGACAACTGGTTAGCAGGTTTATGTTTCTTAGAGACCAGCAAGACCCTTTTTTGCGTACAGTTATTCAGACGCGGCTGCGCAGTGCCCTGCCAGATTTTATGGTGGCGACGAATGTAGACATCTGCCCTGGTTTACGCGGATACTTGAAAGAGGTTGTTGGTGCGTATCGGTTTTTAACAGCACGTTTTTCTTGGCAGTATTTGTCCGGTGTGTCGCGTAAACGGTTGTCGAGAGACCTGATGGATGCGCTTTTCTTCATGCCTTTGTATCGTTTGTTGTACAGTGCAGGCCCAGGGCAAGATGTTTTAAAGCGCGTTAAAAGAATGCTGGTTCCCGCCTACACTAAGACTTTTTTCTTTAAGTTACACAGCGAAACACTCCCCGTTAAAGCTTGGTTATCTGAGAAAGGTATACCGGTTCCATGGTCCGATAACTGCTTTTTGTGTAAAAAGCGAGAAACTATTGAACACGTCTTCATCCGACTGTTGGGACGCGGTTTTCTTTTGGGACGTCCTTCAGAGGACTCTCAAAAAGGACCTCCCAATAACGCCTCAAGGAATTAGGTTTTTACCCACAGAAAGAGCGGACGATGTGCCGTATGACATGATAATGCTCCTGGGCCTGCACAGTATATGGCGGTGCCGTATGGCTGTACGCCACGCAGATGTTGATGTACGCCCTGTTCGCAAGTATTTCGTTGAAAATATCTGTTTTCTGATTGAAGTGTACAAGGCGCAGGAACCACGACCTGATTGGTTGCCTGCTCTTGAGGAGCTAACTACCCTAAAAGACATTTTAGCATTTCTGACACCAGCCGAGCTGACTGATGTCCTCGTTGTTATCCCTGTTGTTTTAAGTTGTTTTAAGTACGGAGTGATGGTGAATGTCATTGTCCTGTTCCAGGCAATAAAAAAAAAAAATCCTCGTTAGTATAGTGGTCAGTATCCCCGCCTGTCACGGGGGAGACCGGGGTTCGATTCCCCGACGGGGAGCATAATTTTTTTTTTTTACACCCAGTTTTTTGTTTTACTTTATTGAAAAGTCCATGCTGCGGTAGAGTTCCCGTCCCGAAATTCCCGTCTCTCCTCGTTAGTATAGTGGTCAGTATCCCCGCCTGTCACGGGGGAGACCGGGGTTCGATTCCCCGACGGGGAGCATTTTTTTTTTTTTTTACACGCAGTTTTTTGTTTTACTTTATTGAAAAGTCCATGCTGCGCTAGAGTTCCCGTCCCGCTATTCCCGTCACTCCTCGTTAGTATGAATTCTACTTCCGGCCGCCGAAGCGTACGGACGTACTATCATGAGCTCCGTTGGAGCGGTTCCAGCGGCCCAGCCTGGCCGCGATATCAGGAGTGCTGACGCTGCATCTCAGGATTACGAACTTCTTTTGCCGACGCTGCCGTCAGGACCGTCCGTTCAGAACACCGTTTTTTTACATGCCGACGTGAAAGCCAGGCCGTACCGTCTGGAACACTTTCGAGACGCCCTCGCACTGGCGGCACTTCTCCCCGAGGTGCTTGCCTTGGGGGCGTATCAGTATAACCATGTGTGGGCAGTGACCTTCAAAAGCGACGAGGGGAAAAAGAGGCTGCTTGCAGCTGACGAGTTCAAGGTTAAAGACCGTCGCTGCGTCTTGGTGGACCCGTGTAACCAAGACGTCCGTTTGAAGCTCCACTGGCTGCTGCATCACGTCCAAGACGACGAGGTACGTGCGGCCCTGGCACCCTACGGAAAGGTGACGGGGGTTACACGGGACAAGTGGCGCGTCTCAGGATGCACAGACATGGCTTCGACGACGCGCTCGGTATCCCTCAAGCTGAAGCCCGGAGTCACGGTGGACGACCTCCCCCACCAGCTCCGCATCGCAGGTGACCTGGCGCTGGTGGTGGTGCCCGGCAGGGCGCCACTTTGCCTGCGGTGTAAGGGCAAGGGCCACATCCGACGGGAGTGCCGAGTGCCGCGCTGTGCGCTCTGTCGCCGCTTCGGCCACGACGAGAGCCAGTGCGTCCGTACCTACGCCAGCGTCACGGGACCCATGGGGCTCGATGATAATTCGGAGCACCTCATGGACGTTGCAGACGCCGAGGAGGCCGCATCGGGTGCCTCGGACGGGGCAGACGTCAAGCCGGCATCGGAAGCCGAAGAGAAGCAAAGCAAGGTCGACGCTGCATTGGGTGCAGACGCTACGCGGCACGCTGGGGAGCCTGATGCTCCACCGGCTGAGAGGGCTGCAACGAGCAGCGTAGAAACCAGCGTCGTCGAGAAGTCTGCCGTCGACGCGACCATGCTTGACGATGAGGCCTCGGCAAGCTGCCCAAACATCAAAAGGTCTCGCGAGGACGACGTCACGAACCCTAGCACAGCAAGCCACGAGGAGCCGCCTCCGAAGGCGACACTGCTCAGGCGACCACGGCTCAACATGAAGCCGAAGGTTCCTTTCGACGACCCAAGGGTGGCCAAACCACCCCCGTGACTGTCTGCGCCGGCAGCTCGTCTCGGGACTCGGTACGGTTCAACGCCAGTTCCGCGTCGATTCGAGTGAGAAGGCCTTCGACCTAAGGTAAGCACCATGCGGTCTCTCTCTTCGTGGAATGGCCCTAAAATTAGGAGCGCCCCTACGTGTTGCCACAATTAACGTCCGTGGGCTGGCAGCGAGACGTCGGCAATACCAACTCAGTAGATTGTTTGCGGAAAACGAGCTCGATATTGTGGCTGTTCAAGAAACAAAAGTTGAGAGCCGGGAACAGACGGACCGCATGGTGCAACCTTTTCGAACACTTTTTAATGTGTGCGTTGCGCACTCAGCGGGGATGTCGGGGGGTTGTTGTCTGTTCATTCGCCAGTCGGTAGGCATTACCGAAACGGCCGTTGTTTCGTGTGCGTCCGGGCGATTTGTCTTGTGCGATTTTTCTTTTTCAAATATTGAATGGCGTGTCCTTTGTGTATACGCGCCGAATCGGGAGCGTGAACGTAAGGTTTTCTTTGAAGGTCTGAGTGCGTACCTCGATAGTGATAAGGTTATCATTCTTCTCGGAGATTTTAATTGTGTTTGCGCGCCAGAGGACCGTGCGAATAGTGTCCGTATTCGAGATCAAAGTGCTTTGTTTTTAAATGATATGGTCGCGGAGAACGCACTCGAAGACGTAGCATGCCTTTCTTCCAAAGGTAGCGTTCAGTTCACTCACTTCCAGGGCTTCAGTCATGCCCGATTAGACAGGGCCTATATCTCGCTTGATCTGGTTCCACTTTGTGATCACTACAGCGTCCAACCTGTCTCGTTTAGTGATCATGCGTTGGTAATGTTTACGCTTGGTCACAAAGAAAAAATGCCTAAGTGGAATTGGTCGCTGTGGAAACTCAACAGTAACCTAGTGAAGGACGAATTCTTTAGAGCTAAAGTAGATGAATTATTTAAGAAGTTACACGAGGATGAACAAACATTGTGGGGTGTAAAGTGGGAACTATTCAAAGAAGAGGTGAAAATGAAAGCCGTTGAAACAAGTAGCACCTTAAATTACGAGAAAAAGAACAAAGAAAAAGAACTGCGGCGTCAGTTAGAAATCTTTCTAATCGAAGATAGCGCCAAACCCGGCGAGTTTGCGTTAGAAATAAGAGATATAAAAAACCAGCTTGAAGTCATCGATTGTGAGAAGTACAGAGGTGCGGTTGTGCGAGCGCGTTCTGAGAGGCTTTGGTCGAACGAAAGACCGACGAAGCGCGCGCTTAGCGATGAAAAAAGGCAAGCCCAGCGCAACGAGATAAAAGAAATACAGTATAAAAATACTATCACCCGCGATAAGAAAACGATTGAGCGAGCTTTTGTGGAGTACTATCGGGAGGTTTTTGGGCAAGGAGCACCAATAGGCGATGGTTTCGAACGCGAATTTTTATCGCTCATGCCTAGGCTGGAGGATCACGTTCGTGAAAGTTTGGAAGCACCGATTAGCGTTCGCGAGTTAGAAGCGGCCATTGACGAGCTAAGCGTGGGAAAGACGCCCGGACCGGACGGTCTTGGCGCTTGTTTTTACAAAGCGTTTAAGAAGGAGGCTGCAGAGTCCCTATACGAAGTGCTGAAAGAGGCGTACGATAAAAGTATTTTACCGCCGTCGTTTTTGAAATCGCATACGGTTCTCATTCCGAAATCTGATGACACCGTAAAACTTTTGTCCGTGTCATCCTTCCGACCCATTTGCTTAACGAATGTAGACTACAAAATTTTCATGAAGGTCCTGGCTAGACGATTGCAAAATGTTATAAAAAGTCTCGTCGGGCCGCACCAGACATGCGGTATTAAAGGCCGCACCATTTTTACGAATATTCACGTTGCCAGGAGTGTCCTTGAATGCTGTGACACCTTTGAACGCCGAGTAGCGATGTTACAGCTAGACCTGGAGAAGGCATTTGATCGCGTGTCACATGAGGTTCTTTTTCGGATTTTAGAGCATGCGAATGTAGGTTCTGTAATTCTAGATGGTTTAAAAATGGCATACGCCGGGTGTACAACATCGCTAATAGTCAACAAAAATCTGAGTGCCGGTGTGAACGTTAATTCTTCTGTAAGGCAAGGTTGTCCCCTGTCTCCCTTGCTCTTTGCGATCTATTTGGAACCTTTTTGTTTGAAAATAATCAACAGTGAAAACATACATGGCTTCACGTTACAGTCATGTGAAGTGAAGGTTCTCTCGTATGCAGACGATGTGGCTGTCTTTTGTGTTGACCGAGAAAGCGTGCGTGAAGCCATTAGTGTTGCCTCCTCCTTTTGCAAAAATACGGGCAGTGTAATTAATTGGGGTAAATGTGCAGGTTTCTGGCACGGCAGCTGGGACACAACGCCTCATATCTTTCTGAATGTTCAGTGGACGTCCTTGCCCGTGAAATATCTTGGTGTGCCACTCGAGCACTACAGAGATAGCACCCAAATGTGGAACGAAGCGACGGAGAGAGTGAGAGGAAAAGCGGAGAATTGGAAGGGCAGGGACTTGTCGATGTTTGCGCGTGCTACAGTATGTAATTTATTTTTAGTAGCAAAAGTGTGGTATATACTGCAGGTTATCGCTATGTCGCGCCTCAACGTACAAAAGTTGCACAGAGTTTTTGCAATCTTTATCTGGGGTTCAGTCTGGGAGCGTTCTACTCGTACAAATTTGTTTCGCGCTGTTCAAAGTGGTGGCCTGGGATTGTCCCACCTGTTTATTCGGCAGATTGTGTCTAGGTTTATGTTTTTACGTGACCAAAGTGATGTATTCTTACGTACTGTGCTGCAAGTGCGATTACAAAATGCGTTGCCGGAATTTGTTGTTTCGTCGAGTAACCTATTGTGCCCTAGTGTTCAAGGCTTTATGCGCGAAGTTGTTCTTTCATTTCAAATGCTAAAGGTACGTTTTTCTTTAGATTACCTCAGTTCAGTCACTCGGAAAAGACTATATAAAGATTTAGTGGATGTTTTGTTACCAGTGCCCCTCTAGAGGTCATTGTACTGCGAGGGCGATGGGCAGGATGTTCTAAAGAGAGTTAAAAAAATGCCAGTTAAGCCATCCGTGAAGTCTTTTTTCTTTCAATTGCATAGTGGCGTCCTGCCAGTCAAGCCTTGGCTGAAGGACAAAGGCATTTTTGTACCGTGGTCTATAAACTGCATCCTATGTAAAAAACCTGAGTCGATTGAACACGTCTTCATAGAATGTTGGGACGCCGTATTCCACTGGGACGTTCTTCAGCGTACGCTGAAGAAAGACCTTCCTCTAACTGCACAAGGCATCCGCTTTTTACCTGTCGAGAACGAGAATGGTGTCCCTTACGACATGTTCATGCTTCTCGGCCTCCATAGTCTATGGAAGACAAGAATGAGTGTACGACATGCGGACGTTAATGCACGCCCCGCAAGAGAAAACTTTATAGAAAGTGTAGCATATATCCGGGAAGTCTATCGAGCAATGTCTGAACCTCCTGATTGGTTGCCAATTCTGAATGAATTAGTGTGTCTGAAAAGATTTTAACGCAATAGTGTTAGCCCCAAAGTGGCTGACATGTTTCCTCTTTGTGAGCATTCTTCAAGTGTACGTGTGTGCGTGTGTTTTGTCGCCAAAATGTAAACAGGAAATAAAGAAAAAAAAAAAAACTCCTCGTTAGTATAGTGGTCAGTATCCCCGCCTGTCACGGGGGAGACCGGGGTTCGATTCCCCGACGGGGAGCATTTTCTTTTTTACACCCAGTTTTTTGTTTTACTTTATTGAAAAGTCCATGCTGCGCTAGAGTTCCCGTCCC